TGTTTATTCCTAAATCCACGTGGACACCCCCTCAGGCCGCCATCCATCCTGAAATATTGAAAGCATTTGCGAGTATGAATAGCCAAACAGTGAACCTTTCCATAACACACGAAAAGCCTAATCTCACACAAGTGGAACGTGAAGCGTTAAACCTACTTAAGAAAGACGATAGCATTGTTATTAAAAAGAGTGACAAAGGTTCATGTTGTGTCATTCTGAATAGGGAGGATTACGTTTCAGAAGCAGAGAATCAACTGAATAATCCTAAACATTATGCCATTTTACCGAAACCAATTTTCAAAGAAACTGCTAACATGATTAACAATATTCTTGCCGATTTAGTCAAAACTAGTTATCTCAAACAGAAACAATATGACTATCTATCTGCCAAACCTGATTGTCGCGAGAGACATTTGTACACTTTGCCTAAAATCCATAAGAATCCAACCAAGGAGTGGTTTATCTCGAATAAAATCCCTAAAGGCCGCCCGATTATATCTGACTGTGGTAGTGAGTCATATGCAGTGTCAGAATACATTGATCATTTCTTACTACCTCTAGCATGTCAACATCGCGTCTACCTTAAAGACACAACCGATTTTGTCAATAAAATAAAAAATCTTCGAGTTCCCTCTAATGCTATTTAAATTTCTATTGACGTTTCTTCTATGTATACCAATATCGATAACACTACTGGTTTAACGGCAGTTCGTAAAGCTTTTAATAGAAACCCAGATCCAAACAGACCCGACGATGCAATTCTACAGCTTTTAGAGATTTGTCATAGTCGAAACGATTTCACATATAATAGTAAAACATATTTACAAACTTCAGGGACAGCAATGGGCAAACGATTCGCCTCTTCGTACGCAAACCTTTTCATGGCAGAGTGGGAACGTGAGGTGTTGCCCCTCTGTCCATTTGACCCACTTTTTTACGGACGCTTTTTGGATGACATTTTTATGGTTTGGACTTATTCTATCGAACAGTTTTGGGAATTCTTTGAAATTCTCAACAACCACCACCCTTCTATCAAACTAACCGCAAACGTGAGTGACAAAAGCATAGACTTTCTCGATACCACAGTCTTTAAGGGAGATTCCATAGCAGAAACAAATAAACTGGATATTAAAGTGTATTTCAAAGAAACTGATACTTATCAACTCTTGCACAAGAGCTCCTTTCACTCAAAACATACCTTTTCTGGTATAATTAAGTCACAAGTTTTACGATTTCATCGAATTTGTACAAGATCTTCTGATTTCAACCAAGCCTGTACGATTGTTTTCTCAAAACTGAAAGAGCGTGGGTACTCTAAACGATTTTTACGAAACATAAAAAATTCCACCTTAGCACAGATAGCAGCTAAAAACAGACTTTATGCCGAAGTACCTCCAGGTTTAAGAAGTGCTCCATGTTTGTCCAGTAAATGCAAAACATGTCCCTTTATATCAGAAACTCATTACTTTGTAAGCAACTCTACGAATAAAAGGTACCCGATCCAGGAACATCTAACATGTGAACATTCGAATGTAATATATTTAATTTCATGCAAGAAATGCCCCAAACAATATGTAGGAGAAACTAAGAATAATTTACGAACTCGCTTTAATGCTCATAGGTCAGACATCAAATTAAAGAAAGACAAGCCTGTAATCATTTCAACCTCGACGACCATTCAATAGACGATCTCGCCCTAATCCCAATTGAGCGTATAGAAATTGACTTGCCCGAAGATGAAACTACCAAATTCCGTCAATCTAGGGAAGCCCATTGGATTCAGACATTGAATACAGCAAGACCTATTGGACTAAATATTCATCATAATGTAGGCATAACACCCTTTATTGTCCCGTTTAATACAACCAGCAATCGAGCAAGATAGTTCATGCCCACTATAAGAGCCTTCAAGAGAAATTCCCCCATGTCTATAAGCAGAAAATGATAGTTGCATATTCAAAAAATAAGAACTTAAATGATAATATTGTTCATAGTAAACTAAAAACAATCAGCGCATAACAGACACTATACTTATTTTTTCTAATTTCAGATCAGAATAAGAACAGAAGAAAACCCAATATCAAGACCCTTAATCCTAATTTCTAAATAAAGTGTCTGCTCCACCCTAGGCCTGTACATTTGGGAGAATCAAACCCTCCCTTCCCCGAAATCTTATTATTTGCAAAATATTAATTTCATATGTTCCTATCAACATGAATCATCTAGTTTGGCAGCAAGGGGTAATTCATCTAATCTACCAATGAATTTGAGAAAGATCGAGGATGTAGACATTGCAAAATACACCAAAGATAATTGGGAACCTTTAAGACACGAATGGGAACCTTACGCTAAAAGAGATACGTTATGTCTCGGAGCTTGTTTGATAAAATACAATCAAGCAATGAAAGAAGTTGTATTTCAGAATATTTCCAATAATCTAACGGCTCCTTCTTTATCTTTAAAGGGTTGGTATTATTTATATCATTACGATAAAGAAATGGTTGAAGAAGAATGGTATGAAAGTACTAGAATGGTTCCGAAACACACCGAAAAAGAAAACGTAGAAAAAGTTTACTCACATACTCACCCTTTTATAAGATATTTTATCAGACAAAGTATTAAAAGAGGAGGAGGCAAATCGAAAATCATTTGAAACGAATAAAATGGATGAAATTTGTAATATATTAAAGGAATACACAGAAACAGCAAGTGATAATATAATAGATTTATTCAAAGAATACAGCGCTAGCACGAAAGATAAAGCGGAGGTTCATTCGAGACTTAAAAAAATAAAATGTACTAAACTAATGGCCTTTGATGCTAACGGTTTGTACGCTTCCGCCATGTCGGATTTAGATAGCGAATATCCGAGAGCAGAAAGTGGTAGACCATTTCGACAAGAAGAAAATAAAGAATTTCTCAAGCTCTTTAACGAGCAGAAATTCAGACCTAGAACTGCTATTTTAAAAGTCTGGTTTGAATATCACAAAAACATGTTCTTCCAACCCATACCAGCTAAAGATAAAATCACTTTCACGAATAGAATAGGTAAAAAGGAAACTGGCACTAAAATCAGGTTCAGAAATGGTTTCTGTCACGACGTTTTAACATCGGTCGATATTCAAGAAAAAGTGACAGCCGGTGGACGAATTATTAAAATATTAGATGGTATAGATTACGAAGAAAATTTTAAAACCCCACCCTATAGAGATTATATTTTAATTTTGAGAGATTTAAGAAATAAATATAAACGAGAAGGTAATATCGTAGGTAGTAATTGTATGAAATTATTAGGTAATTCGCTGTATTCTATTCAGAAGGATATAACTGCATCGAGACATCTATGGAGTGAAGTGACTTTAAAAGCCAACTTCGATTCACACGTTATACACTATGAAAAAGTAAATGATAGTCAATATATAGTTGAGATAAATGAAGAAGAAAAAGAATTTGACTGTACACCTCTTAAATCTACACGACTAACACCTAGTCATTTGGGATCATTCGTTTTATCTCACAGTAAAAATATAATAGATAGTTTATACATTTCGTCTAGCAATTGGGATAAATTAAATGAAGGTGGGTTGGTGTCCGAAAATGATTATTGTAAAGGAAAGAATGATTAAGGTGATGGTGGAATTATATTTTCCCGAAATCTAAAGATAAGATATCCGTAGAAGATTATATTCGTTTAGCTAGTGGACACGATGTAACGAATGAATTTAAGAAACCTAAAAAGTTTCACCAATGGAGTAGTTATTCCAAAAGATGATGATAAACAAAAGAAAGTTTTTATAAGTTATTTAAATCTCGTTAAGAGAAAAGCACCAAACAGTGAAGGAATCATGTATCCTTGCAACGACGGAAAAGAATTGAACATGGATGAAAACTAGGAATTTGATGATTTCGATTACCTTACTATTCAAGAAGAAAATGAAGAGTGTTAATTTTTTTGTTTTAAATGAAGTTGAATAACAATTTCCTCGTTACCAAAATTTATAAACCTATTTTTAACATCTTTGATTTCCAGATTTATATCTTTAATCATAAAAGGAATGAAGTGGTAAATACGTCGTTTGAAATGGTTTCTCTATAATTCTATATCCTATCAGTACAGTGAATGTTGGAAGACTGTAAATAATCTGACGTTTGTATTTATTGAAAAATCCACCGTTTATCAAATTGCAATGTATATTTATCACATCGATATCATTCTCGATATTAGCTTTGTGTGGTGCTAAAGTGGATTGGGTGTATAGTCGTTTATCAAATCCTAGTAACGTATTCAATGAATTTTCTACGTTGAAATCAACTTGACTATTATTTCTTAATATCAATTTTATTTTGTTCAGATTCAAATTACCTTCGAATTCAATATTGTTTTTACCATTTACACTTCCTCCATATTCAGATATGTATTCGTTAATGGCTATGTATTCGTAGCTTCCTGGTAGTAAACGTATGGTTTTGAACGTAACTCCGTTATCTGTTGATAATTTTATTTGGTTATTTTTTTCGTTGATATTTCTAATGGAATTGTAAACAGAGAAATACTTTAATTCCAATTCATATTCTTGATTGCGATCGAGTTCGTACTCATAATCTAGAGATAATTTAATGTCTGGTTTATTTGAGGTGATGACGAATAGTTGTTCTTTAATTGACATTTTTAATCACGCTTTTATAATCATTTTTATCTATGATACTTTTTTCTAGGAGTCTTTTTAATATACAATTTACTTCATTATATTGTCTGTGCGATCGATGTCCTTCCTTCATTGCCGCTAATATTACTCGTAATCTATTAAGTAGTTCCTCGTTGTTGTCGGATAAAAACGTTATACCTTGTCCAGATGCCACCATATCTTCGAAATCGTCTATATCTTGTGTGATTGAATTGTTGTCTTCAGCATAATCATCTGCTTCGTCAACTTCGTATTCATCATCTTGATCAATTACTTTTATATATATTTTAACTTCTTTCGATCTTCTTGTTTCGGGTCCCGACTTTCTTATTGCATCTAGAAATTTTGAGTATGCTACTAAATCCTTATAATCGGCAATACCAACATACTCTCGTTAATTTAATTAAATCTATTAATCCTCTCGTTAATGTTAATATAAAGTCTTTTGTATCAATTTTGAATAAAGGGGAATTTGGACTAAATATTATTCTAAATCCATTAAACAATAAACCTTGATTATCAACGATTGGTGAAATGCTCTTTGGTAAATCTGGGTTAGGGTTTGAAAAAAGACGATTTATATCATCTAATGTCCTAATTATAATACCATCATATTCAATCGGTTTGGGGTGTTCTATAGGAGGTGTGGGTTCTATAGGAGGTTTATATTCTAAAGCTAATTTCCTTTTAATATCCTCTTGAGATTTTAATATGGGTTGAAATAGAGTTTGTAGATTTTCCGTTAATCCGAGTTGTTGTAATCTGTTATTTTCAACTTGGGTCTTTATTTTATTCTTAGCTTTGATATATTCTTTATTTCTTTTTAAAATATTATTCCAATCGCTACTCATTTGTAAAAAAATAAAATTAACATATGCCACGGGTTTTCTAGTATTTACATTGGGTTATTAGGAAATATTTCTCAATGATTACATTTTTTGCCCATTTTTTATTATTTTAATTTGTTCCAAAAATCACTCCTTCTCCTTTATACTTTGAAAGATATATTCCTTCTCCAGTGTGTATATTTTTTAAAAATATTCCATTACCCTTATGTTTGACTTTGACTTCTCCCGTGTCAATACTATCTACTAATTTATTTAATCCTTGTTTAACAGTTTTCTTGGTTTCTTCCCTAAATGTTTTTCCTAATTCTTTTATTGTGCCTATCATTTCTCCCACTCCTGAACTTCGTGCTTCCTTTTCCAGTGCTAAATTATGTCTGCGTTCTTCAGCGGCTTTAGCATCATCTGCTTTATTTGAGAGGACGGTTTTTGTTATTCCAGTAGCCGCTGCAATACCACCAAATATTAAAGGTAGAAGGAAAGGTAAAAATCCACATTCTTTTGCGTTCGCGTCAATTCTTTCTAAATCTATATCGTCTCTGACTTTACAATATTTGTATTTATCAATAAGTTTTTTAGTTATACTGATTTTTTTACCGTTGAAAGTTATTACAGTTGGGGAATCTGTTTCAATGTCTTCTATTATTTTCATAACTAAAGTTTCTGGTTTCATTTTTAAGGGTGTATTTTTTACTCAATTCTTATCATTCTTCTATCTGCTATTTTAATTAAATGTTTTGCTTCTTCCAATAATAAACAATAACCTGTTACATCTCCTGGTGTTTTTTCAATATGAATATTTATGTTCACTCCTGTTTTGAAAAGATCTTCTTGGTGAGCTGATAGATCAAAACAGAAGATTGGATGATTAAGTGCAAAATGTACATATTCAAACTGAGGTAGATT